GCGCTGGCCCCCCCGCCCCCCACCTACCGGTCCTGTCATGCTGGGCCTCCATTTGCTGCATCTTCTGTGTCAGCTCCTGCTCCCTTTGCTGGGCCTGAAGGGCTTGGGCCTTTGCCTCGCTGCTGAAGTTCTGCTGAATGGTCTCTTTTTCCAGTCTGCGAGGCAGGGAGGAGACAGAAGTTAATCCACAGATGCACGCACCCCCATCCCTTCCCCACGGGCCACAGGGAGCTGAGACGCAGTAAATTGTTCAGCATAAGAAACAACAGTCTTTCCACTCCCTCCCTCCCCCCCGCAATTAGGGGAAAATCCAAAGGACCTTTCATACAATGTGAAGTACAGCCCGTCCATCCAAGTGGACTCAGGACTCAACTTTCCACATCAAAAAATCGTGACAACTGAGGGATGGTAGTTTGTAACCTTGAAACGCAAACACCTTCTGCTGTAACTTTTTCTTGAATCCTCACCCGAGGATATTTTCCCATTGATTTCTAAAGAGAGTGGAAGAGGGAAAGGCAGAGAGAAACATCGATGTGAGAGAAACACATCAACTGGTTGCCTCCTGCACGAGCCCCAAACAGAGCCCAGGCCGGGGAGAAGCCTGCAACCGAGGTACATGCCTTTGACCGGAATCGAACCCAGGACCCTTCGGCCACCCGAGGATATTTTTCCATTGATTTCTAAAGCGAGTGGAAGAGAAGGAAAGGCAGAGAGAAATATTGATGTGAGAGAAACATCAACTGGTTGCCTCCTGCACGAGCCCCGACCAGAGCCCAGGCCGGGGAGAAGCCTGCAACCGAGGTACATGCCTTTGACCGGAATCGAACCCAGGACCCTTCGGTCCGTAGGCCGACGCTCTATCCACTTAGCCACACCGGCCAGGGCTGCTGTAACATTCTTCATGTGTTGTGGCCCTGGTGAGTCTTTTATCTGATGACTGGTTACTATTTCCCAAAGGTCCTGGAGCTAAAGGAACAGCAGGGCTCAATACGCCCAGACTGGAATTCTGGAAACGAAGCTTTGCAGGCCACTTCCACTTCCCTCCCAAAGGAAAATGGAATCTCAAATATAACGGCGGAGCTTCTATCTAGAGGCAAGTAAAGGATGTGCATGTTTTGTGGAATATTTTCGCCTATCAGCCACGTCATGTGACATGTATGAAATGAATCACTTGCCCGGCACTTCATAATAGAAGCCCCTGTGGGTCACACGGAGAGAAACTGCAGGGTAAGACGCTTTCTATGCTATAAAGACAATCGCCGATCCCACTGTGATTGGATGGAGACCCGTCCATTGGGCCCAATGGTCACTCTCCAATCACAGTGGCTCCTAAAGAGAGAAACTTCCTGAGCTAGAACCTGAGGATGCAAAGGACCTCATGGCAGGAGGCACTGTGGATGCTGACACTGTGCGTGCACGCACACACACACACACGTGTGCTCCGTATACACACGCTCACATACACATACACACCCAAACTCACATACACATACTCACACATGCTTAATACATACACACAATGCTCACACACACACTCACATACACATACACACCCAAACTCACATACACATACTCACACACGCTTAATACACACACACAATGCTCACACACACTCACATACACACACACACGTGTGCTCCGTATACACACGCTCACATACACATACTCACACATGCTTACATACACACACAATGCTCACACACACACTCACATACACTCACACACACACATATGCTCACACAAGCTCACACACATGCTCACATACACACTCACATGCTCACATGCACACACACACACATTAGGTTGGTTCTTCATACTCTAAATCTGGGTGAGTGAGATGAGGGTTTCCTTCAATTAACCAACTTAGCTCTTGCTAACGCCGATCCCCTTGCGGGCACTTCTCCTCCATGCTGCTTCAGTTTACTAACTGAGATATTGACGGCCTTGCCTTTGCCAAACTGAAAATAAACAATTGCATAAAGCGATCTCTACTGGCGTATGTACCGCTGTGGGACCTCCGTTCACTGGCTTCTAATTATAGAGCAACATAAGGAAAGCCTGCATCAGGGCCGGTCAACGCGGGTGGCAATGTTGTGGTGGAAAATTCCAGAAGGAAAATACACCCACACCTCACTCAAGCAGAATCACCAGGGGTCCTCCCTAACGTGAGGAGGGTCCCTTCCGGTGTTACGAGTGACAACACCCCCTTGGGTTTGCTCCAAGGCCTTGCCTCGTGCTCAGTTCCAAACTCCTGTATTTAACAAACGGACAGATGAGGCCATGCTTTCCTGCTCAGTCACACCATGGCTTTCCGGCCATGGATCATTGCACGTGTCTCTCTCTGTTTTCCTGGGCTCTCTCCCCCCAGCCCTTTCTCACCCCCCATCCTAGCCCCTGGCCCCCCGCTCAGTGTACATCACTCCTTCAAGCCTGCTCAGAATTCTCCCCTCTCCTTCCATTTTTATCTAGTGAACTATACCCTTTTTTCAGTGCCCTCATATATGTTGTGCGTGCAGACATCCTCCTAAGGCAGCCTTTATCGCACTTCCGTTACTGCTCCACACGTCTGCTTTCTTTGTCATCTTTGTCTCTCTGTCCCTGAGCCCAGCTCAGTCCTTGGCACATGGCGCCTAGGAAATGGGCAGCGAGTGTTCCATGAACGAATGTCCGTCTGCCCTGAGCACAGGGGGAGGCAGCTGCAGTCTTGAAGGGAAACCGGAGGACCTGCTGGAGTCTTAGATGAGGAGGCAAACACTCCGTTAGACAGTGGCTGGAAGAGGCGGCTCTCATGGCAGCTGGGGCTGACGCTGCTGAGAGCATTGTGGGCTCTCACTGAGTCACATCCCCACGCCAGACCCGCCTTAGAGCTGGGGGTAGAGGCAGGGAGACCTGGGCTCTGTGATCTCTAATAACTGGGTGACCATAAGATGCGTTGTTAAAACCAATACCCACTGGAGGGGAGGAGGGAGCAGGGTTAATCATTACACAGAGACAACAGTCATCGGGGCTCCCCTTTGCAAACTGGGGCTCTGTTCCCCTTCACAAAGGGGTTGCCAGTCTCCCATCAATGTCTGGAATGAGAAGGTGCCTAAGTACTGAAATCCGAAATCCAGTGCAGAAAAGGAACCACGATTACTGTGGGTCTCCCAATAAAACAATCTAAAGGAACGCTCCACCCACAAATGCTGAGTTCACATCAACTTTTGTTTCTTAAATCCTTGTCCAACGTTCACTCTATTTGAAAAACTACACCTTTTATTTTTCAGGGCGGAAAACTTGGCACATTTTTGCTTTCCAACCTCCTTCTCTTCCCTTCCTCCCATGTTGCCTTCTCCCCTTGCAGGTTTGTTCCGACTTAGCAGATTTTTTATAAAACCTTAAAATGCGAGAATTGAAAGGGAATCTCAAATCTGTTTAATCAAATCCTGTCACGTTATAGTTGAAAATAAAAGAGGATCCTAAATAATTCAAAATCTGCTCAAAGGTCATGTGGAAAGTGATGTAAAGGCAGAGGTGAGATTGAAATATTTTCATTTAGGGAAACCTATTTTTTTAAAATATATTTTTATTGATTTCAGAGAGGAAGGGAGATGGAAAGAGAGAAACATCAATGATGAGAAAGAATCATTGGTTGGCTGCCTCCCACACGCCCCATGCTGGGGATGGAGCCCACAACCGGTATGTGCCCTGACCAGGAATTGAACCATGACTTCCAGGTTCATAGGTCAACCTCCAGGTTCATAGGTCAATGCTCAACCACTGAACCATGCCGGCTGGGCAGGAAACCATTTTCTAACACTCTAGGAGTAATGCATTAATGGATTGAAAGAATTAATAAAAAACAAGTAAGTTAGGCATCCAAGGAAGAAATTAGAGAAAATTTAAATGAATTCATTTAATATTTATTATGACTCTATTATGTGAAAGATACTCTACTAGGCACTGGGTCAAATAAAGGTAAATATGGCGTAGTCCTTATCCTAAAAGGACTACGGAGAGAAGGTAGGAGAGAAATACACTACAATAAAGGCAATAGGGGAAAAACCACCAAAACATAGAGAAATGGGAGGTTATTTCCAGCTGTGGTTTGAGAGACTCATGAAGAAGAGCTGCCAGTCCTCCCGACTGGTTTTCATTCAGTCCTCAGACATAGGTGATCTCATTTAACCAGACTGGTGGTTGCCCCTATTTTACCAATCAGAATGAAAGCAGGGGGGGCAAAGAATTTCTTTGTGGTTGTTAAAATGAGACTGAAAGATTTATTCATAATCGCTAAGAACTGGAAACAACCTAAATATCCACTAAGTGCTAAATGGATAAACAAAGTGTGGTAAAGACTCACAACTGAACACTCGCCACAGCAACACAAAGAGACAAGCTCCGAGAACCGACGACACATGGATGAGCCTCAAAAGCATATCCTTAAAGAACCCGGGCACCAAAGACGTCTTGTAGGGTTTCACTTATTGACATTCTAGAAAATTACACCTGGAGTGAAGATCGCATTGCCAGGACCCGAGATAGGGGACGGGCAACAGGGGACCTTTTGTGCTGATAGAAATGCTCAGTATCGTGATTATAATGGTTAAAACTGTGCAATCTGTCAAAATACATTTAATGGCACACTTAAAATATGGATTTTTAAAAAATATATTTTTATTGATTTTCGGAGAGGAAGGGAGAGGGAGAGAGAGATAGAAACATCAATGATGAGAGAGTATCATTAATCGGCTGCCTCCTGCATGCCCCCTACTGGGGATTGAGCCTGCAACCCGTGCACATGCCCTTGACCGGAATCAAGCCGGGACCCTTCAGTCCACAGGCTGATGCTCTATCCACTGAGCAAAACCAGCTAGGGCTAAAATTATGGTTTTTTGTGATATTTACATTGACCTCCATAGAGCTGATATTTTAAAGGAGTGAATACACTAAAAAGAATAGGAACATCCCTTTCCTCCAAGTTACCCACGTTGCCTGCGATCACATGTACATGTGCGGGCCACCTCGTGTTTTCTTGACAATTAAGCATGAAAAGGTGTCATCAGGGCCTGGAGAGGCCTCACATATGGACTAAGGAAACAAAGGGGTTCAGTAGCTCCTTTTTCCAATAAGACCATGTAAGCAACCTATTCCTCATCAAACTCTCACCTACTAG